ATTAAAACAATTAAATTTAATAATTAAAAAAAAAAATAAAAAATAAAAATAGGAACTCATTATATACAAAAAAAATTTTAATTAATTTAACTGAAAGATGAATGAAATTAATAGCGATAAATTAAATATATTGTGAAATTTTACTTTTGAGAAATTCTAAACAATATATAGTTAAAATTATAATAATGATAATACAACAAAATAAAAAATGATAAATAAATAATAAATATTAAGTTATAGGGACATAAATAATTGAATATAATAAAATTTTATTTATTTATACTTTAACGTATTTTGAAATTATAAAATTATAAAAATTATAAAATTTTAAATTAAATTAAAATTATATTAAAATTAATTAAATTAAAATTTTGTGTTTGTTGTTATTAAATTTATTATATTGAATTGGATTTATTAACAATAATACATAATTATTTTAATTTTTCATTTTTTTAAAAAAAAGGATAGTTGTATTGAAAAGGAAAGTATCGGAGAGGAAGAAAGAAAAAGAAAAAAGAAAATAGAAATAGAAAGGAAAACAATCAAAAATAATTTGTTAGTTTGATTGGAGTGTGTTGAATAAAACATGTATATCTGGTATTTAAAAAAAAAAAATACCTTAAATAAAAATTCACATTATTAGTGTTGGGGTTTGTTAGTGTGGGAGTAAAAAAAATTTTTTTTTTTTCCTTTTCTTCTCTCTCATATTATAAAAACAATGATACAATTCCAAAATATATTTTTACCAAGTGAATGTCATTTGTGGATGTTTTGTTTGTTGGTTAATTTGTTAGCTTTTGTTTTGTTGTGCATATTAATTATCATAATATCGATGTTCTTTTTAATAATAATATTTTCTGAAAAACAAATTTTTTTTTTTTTTAATAGTGGAGGTGATATACTTACCCTGTACAATTATATCAGTTTGATTCTAATATTAGTTTCAAGTTTTTTTGATATATTTCAGTATCTTTTTTTGGGAAAAATTAAATTTAGTTTATTTTTAATAACTAACCCCCCCAATAATCATTTTCTTAAAAAAAAAAAAAAAAAAAAAAAAAAAAAAAAAAAGGTTTTAAAAACAAAACAAATTAACAATAGTGAGTGTGTTTAAAGTGTGATTAGAAACTAAATTTGTGAAAAAACCTAATTATTACTTTATTATAATAATATTATTATTATTTTTATTATTATTATTTTTATTATCCCCCAAAAAAAAAAAAAAAAGGGGGGGGTTTTTTTTTGGGGGTTTTTTTAAAAAAAAAAAAAAAATTTTTTTTTTTTTTTTTGGGGGGGACGGGGGCCCCCCCCCAAAAGGGGGGGAAAAAAAATTTTTTTTTTTTTTTTCCCCCAAAAAATTTTTTTTTTCCCCCCCCCCCTTCGGGGGGGGGGGGAAAAAAAAAAAAAAAATTTTTTAAAAAAAAAAAAATTTTTTTGGGGGGGGGTTTTTAAAATTTTTAAAAGGGGGGGGGGGGGAAATTCCTTTTTTTTGGTTTTTTAAAAGGGCCCCTTTGGGGTAAATTTTTTTAAAAAACCCCTTGGGTTTTTTTATTTCCAAAAAAACCCGCCCCCCAAAATTTTCCCACCCCAATTTTTTTTTTGGAATATTAAAAAAAAAAAAATGTTGAAAAAAAATTTCCCAACATTTGGTTTATGGGGAGATTGTATAACCTATGTGCCATTTTTTTTTTTCTTTTTCTTTTTCTTTAAATTGCCCTAAGGGTTTTGTTTAATTTACAAATTTATTTATTATTTTTTTCGATAATTATTATAAAATTTTGTTTGAAAGTGTTATTATGATATCATTGTATCTTGGAACATAAAAATAATATGGTGACGCAGTGAATTAACAGCATCCGCAAACCCTTAAGTTATTTCTTATCAACCAAGCTCTTTTTAACTCTACTGCTAAAACATCTAGTTTTACTGGTTTTGATAAATACTATAAATTTATTATATTAGTAATTTATTATAAAATTTTAATTAAATATTAAAATACATTATTTTTGTTTTACTTACATGACACATTCCACTTAATAAACATTTATCTTTATCTTCATTAAAACAAAAAGCTGTTAAACCTATAATATGGGGACCAGTTGTTGGATATTTGATACGTATACGACTTGTAGCTTCACATCCATCCAACTCTGGCATTTGCATATCCATGAGAATCACATCTACCATTTCTATGTTGTCTATATAGTCAATGGCTTGTTGACCATTAACTACAAAAACAATCTCCTCTTTTTTGTAACCTAATTTCGTTAAAAATCTGCTTGCTACAATTTGATTTACTTGACTATCTTCAGCCACCATTATCTTTAGGGGATATCTAACGGCTGTCATTTCAATTGGGATATCGGTATCGCTAACAACTGAATTTCTTCTTTTCTTTTGATTGGTATTGCTATTTGATCCATCTTGGTTAATAATATGGTTATTAATAATAAGTGGTTGCGAGTTGTTTTGAGGACTATGTTGTTGTTGTGGTAGTAAATGTAACTGTGGGCTATGTTGTTGATTAATATCATTATCATGATTATGATTGGGGGTTTCTGCAATTGGCTCAATTTGCATATTAGCTGTATTTATATTACTGCTATTTAAATTTAAACATGGTGGGATTGGTGTTAAAACTGGTGAAAAATTAGCTAATTGATCCGAATTTGATTTAATTTTTTTGGCGTTAACTTCCGTATGGGTCGATGATACTGTTAAGCCTGAATGGTCGGTGATGATGAAAGTGAAAGCGAGCTTGGTGAAGAAGACGATGAAAGATTTTTTGAGTAGCTATGATGGTTTTAATAACCTCTAAAGAATTTACATTTGAATATAGTGATTTAAAATACAACAAATTTGAAAAAATACAATCTTTTAAAGGGGTATATTTAATAGGTTTCTTTAAGGTACTTGAATTATAGTATGGTACTGAAAAACTTAAAAATACATTTTTAATGTTATGTAATGGTGGTGTTGTGGTTGTTTGATTATTATTATTATTATTGATATTGTTTGTATTATTATTGGTGGTATTATTATTGGTTGGTGGTGTTGATATTGTGGTTGTGGTGGTAGTTGTAGTTGTTGTAGTGGTTGTGCCTGAAGCTATAATTGGTACAATTAATTGTTGATGTTGGTATTGATGCTTTTGAAGATGTTGTTCAGTAGTTTGTTTGGTTTGATCAATTTGCATTTGAACTTGTTGTTGACTAACCAACGATTCAATAGTTTCTTGAACATTTGAAATTGTATCACTATAATGGATCCAATAAGAATCTTCAATTAAAAATAAAAAGTCTAATCTTTTATTATTAATTAAGGCAATTCTAGAAATTTCTTCAATTGATTCGACATCATATAATAAATCAACATTTGTTGAGTTTGACCAATCACCGATCCATTGGGACAATGAATCCACCAAATTTTTATTTGTTGATAGTATTATAATTTTTGAACATAATGAAGCTATATCGATATTATTATTTGTTGATGCTGTTGTTGTTGCTGTAGAGGCCGATGTCGAAGATGATATATTATTTGTACCACTAGTTGATGAATCATTTGATGTCAATTGATTAGTTATATTAAATTGTGGTTGTAGTGACGATTGTTGAATGGTCTGATAATCAGGGAAAAATACTTCAACTAAAAAGTGAAACGATGAACCTTTTCCTTTTTGGCTCTCAAACCAAATATCACCACCTAAAAGCTGAGTTAAACGTTTACTAATTGCTAAACCTAAACCACTTCCACCATATTTTCTAGTTGTGGATGCATCGTATTGAGAAAATGTTTGAAATAGTTTTTCTCTACCCTCTTCAGGTATACCAATACCATTATCGATAACCCAAAATAGTAGCTTTCCATATTTTCCAGGAACTACTATCTTTTGATCATGGCTTGTAATTTCGATACTATCTAAAGATGATCTCTTTCTTGTTGTTGTACCTGTTTCTTGATAAACTTCACAACCTACAGTAACCTGACCACCTGGTGGTGTGAATTTAACTGAGTTTGAAATTAAATTTGTTAAAACCTGTCTTATACGATAGAAATCACCTACAACTTTTGGTAAGCTTTTATATTTTAGTTGGAATATTATATCTAATCTCTTTTGTTCGGCCTGTGATGATAAAATATCTACGCTATCTTCAACTATTTTTGATGGATAAAATTCTGTTTCTTCTAGTATAATTTTATTTTCTTCTAATTTGCTAAGATCCAATATATTGTTAATTAATACTAATAATGCTTCTGCGCACATTTCTATTGTATGACAACCATCTAATTGCTCACCAGAGAGTTGTGGGGAAGAAGTGCATAACCAAGAATTAATGCCCATAATACCAGCTAGAGGAGTTCTCATTTCGTGTGACATTGTTTGTAAAAAGATTGCTTTTGATTTTTCAGCATTTTCGATACGATCTTGAGCAGTCTTTTGGTCATTAACATCCGTGCATGTTCCAATCCATTTAATATCCAATGAAGTATTTCCTTGGTCTATATCGCTAAAATTAATTGAATGTATGCTTGGGGTTGAGGATGTATTACTTGGTTTTGGTTCTATATAAGGTTCAGCCCTAACTAAAAACCATCTATATTCACCAGATATCGACTGTAAAAGTATTTCCATTTCAAATCTCTTCATCTCTTTAAGTGAATAATGCCATTGTGAATCGAAATCAATTTGACCATTTGGTGAGTTTATCTTTGGTGTTGTACTTGAACCTGATTTTTGTTGCTGTTGCTGTAAATGTTTATTCTGTTGATAGGATATACTACCCCAATTTAAATATTGACCTGCATGATCTATACCTAGATAATCTTTCCATTGCCTATTTACAAATTCTATTTTGCCATGGTTATCGGTAACCCAAACCATTTGAGGAATTGATTCTAAAACATATTTAAATCTTGTCTCTATACGTTCATCTACTCTTTGATCGATTTTGTGTTCTAATGTCTCTAATCTATTTTTGAAATCATTGATTAACTCTTCTTTTTTAAACTTTTCTTTAGTAACTTCTTCTGATGTAAAAAAAAATCTCTTTGAAGATCCATCTTCGCCTGGTCCTAAATAACACATTGAAGATTTTTTCCATACAATTTTTTGAGAATAAAAGTCATCTGAACTTGGTGCCTCTCCGTTATCGATATATCTTGGATACATAAATTTTACAATCTTTTTCTTTCTTAATGATCTTAACATATTCTCTATCCATAATGTGGTAAAATAAGTTGGTAAATTTAATTCTTTAACTGAAAATAAACCATCTAATCCCTGATCTTCACCTAAAAACATATATAATGCATCGACTGAGCCTTTAGTTTTGAAATAAAAAAGAGTGTTAAAATTAAATTTATAAAAAGATTTTTTTTTTTTTTTTTTTTTTCTTTGAATAATTACATTTATTTGAAACCACAAATTTAAAATCGTAATTTTGGGAATCTTGTATTTGAAAGTTTGAATTTGAGTTGTCATATAAATCGCAAACACCCATCATAATTGGTACAGAATTAAAAACCTTTATGATTAAATCGGTTTCATAGTTATTATATCCACCATTTAAAAATTTATATTTTTTAAGTAGTATATTGCTTTTATTGTTATCATTTGTTGTATTATTATTGGTGTTATTAAATGATTGGAATAATAAATCTTGAAATATTTTTGTAGAGTTTTCGCTATCTTCAGTGAATGGACTTGATTCACTCATGATTTATTTTATTTGTTTATTAATATATTGTAATTTAAATTCTATATTGTTGTGGTAAAAAAAAATCTAATAATTATTTAAAAACATTACTATAGTGGTATATAGTTGATTAATCTGGTTATTTTGTTATTGTTATATTACACATAAATAAGTGAAATTATTTTATTGGTTTTTTTTATTTTTGTTGTGTTTTTTAAGAGAGGAAGTGTGAAATGATTGTATCGTTAAAAAATAAAAAAAATAAAGCAATAAAATAAAACAATATTTATAAATTTTAAAATTAAATAAAATTAAATAAAAAAAAAATAAAAAAAAATTTAATAAAATTGAAAAAAAATTTTAATTTAAAAATAAATAAAAAAAGATATTATAATTTTAACAAATCAAAACTATAAAAAAAAGAAATAATAAATAGCAACGAAACAATTAATTAAGAAATGAAATACGAGAAGCTTTTGAAATTAACTTTTAGAAAAATTAAAAAAAATAAAAAAATGAAAAAAAAATAAAAAAATAAAATAAATAAAAATAAAAATGTTTTTTAAAATTTTTTTTTTTTTAAATTAATTTATATATTTAAAGGAGGCAGTTGCCTTTTCACATATAACTTATTCTTTAAATGAAATTCAAATAAATAAGAAATAAAAAACCTATTTTAAATAGAATATAAAATCAATTTTTTAAAATTTTTTTAAAATTTAAAATATTTACACACAATCACTCAAAGATATTATTTTTACTTTAGCAGGGTAAATTTAATTAAATTATTTCAACTCTGACAATGATAAAATAAATTAAATATATTAAAATAAATTAAAATAAAATAAAATAAAATAAAATATAATAAAATAAACAATAAAATGTAATAATATATAATAATAGTTTTAATAATTAGGAAATAAAAAAAAAAAACATTTCACACACTAGATTTATCTTCAATAATAGATATTAATAATCACTAATTCAACCATGTAAATAATAACAATTCTTTACAATTATCCAATAGTAATTATAATAGTTTAAGAAATATAGTAATAAAAAAAATAAAATAAAATTAAAAAAATAAAGAAAAAAAATACAATTATACATACAACAATGGTATTGATGAATGTATAAAATTCAAAATAAAAAGATTCCTTTTAAATGGATTATTTTTAATTAATGGATTCAGATTACAACACAACAAAATATTTAAAAAAAAATAACCCCATTTATATAAAAATCAAATAAATATATTGTTAACAATATTAATACCTCCCCCCCACCACCACCCAATATCAAATATATAGTATCATCCAAAAGATGTGTTAGAAAACAATGAATAAAGAAATTCATCTTAAATATGGAATAAGGAAAAAAAAAAAAAAAAAAATATTTATGTATATTTTATTATACCATTACTAAAATTATATACACTTTTATTATTTATTTTTGGGTTTTATATTTTAATAAATTTATATTGTTTTAGTTTTTTTTTTCTTTTCTTAATATCATATTGTTTAAATAGTTTCATTTTAATTTTTTTTTAGTAATCAAATTTTCTAAAAATAAAAAAAAAATGAAGCAATTAATAAATGAAAAGTATTTATTTATTAATGGTTTATCTATCTTGTATTCTATATGGTATTAATTTAATTTTATGTGTAATTGTAGTAGTAATTCAATTGTGAATGAAATCGAAAAGAATTTAAACAATGATATAGCTCCAGTCGAAAAGAAAAATAAAAATGACATAAAGATATCAGATATGTATCCGACACCAAAAGGTTATTTTCAAAGAAGGTTTTTATTTATTGCTTTAAGTACATTGGCCATTGCTATTTGTTATGTTACAAGGGTGGTCTTGAGCGTAACTATAATTAAAATGCAAAATAAATATGATTGGAGCAATTCCTTTAAGGGATTTATATTGGCTGCTTTCTCTTTGGGATATTGCATGACACAGATCCCAGCACAGTATCTATGCGATCGATTTGGTGGAAAAAAAGTAATCTTTACAGGATTAACTATGAGCATTTTCACATTGTTTTTGGTACCTCTAGCAGCACATAATAAAGTAACCATTATATTGGTTAGAGTATTTTGTGGAATCTTCCAAGGTGTTTCTTTTTCTACAATGAATTGGTTGATTGGAAGATGGATACCTATTTGCCAAAGATCTTCATCAGCTAGTTTTATATGGTCAGGTGTCTATAGTGGCACTGTGATTGGCGATTTTATAACACCAGTTCTATTATCATTTGTAAGTTGGGAAGCTTCTTTTTACATTATTGGGGGTGGATGTTTAATTTGGTCTATATTATGGTTTATTTTTATTTCAGATTTCCCAAAGGATATCAAGTTGGTAGGAATACACGAAAATGAAGTTGCATTTATAAACCACGGTAAGACTATGGATAAAGAGTTAGAGTTAAAAACCATTGGTGACACTGACACTGGTAATCCAACCGATGAAAACCAGAGCACCAAAAAGCCATTTTTGTTTGTGATGAAGACTTTTTTAAAATCGAAACCAATGTTGGCTTTAATGTATTTAAATATATCTTGTAATTGGGGTTATTTCCTATTACTAAGTTGGGCACCCACATACCTTTCGAAACAACTAGGAAATAGTGATGGTTTTAAATTTGCGTTTTTTAACTCTCTTCCATTTATAGTGGGTTTTTTAAACTCTATTGTTTTTGGATTTGTATCTGATAAACTATTAGCAAAAGGTTTCAAAAAACTTTATGTAAGAAAAACATTCGGTTGTTTTATGTATGGTATTCCTTCTATATTTTTATTTTTATTAGCATTTTCACCAGTTAATTATATTGGGAAAATTGCATTCCTTACCTTAATTATAGGTGCCAATGGTTTTGCAAATATTAGCTCACAAATTGTTACTTTGGATCTATCAAGTATAGAGAATGCTTCTATTGCTATGGGTATTGCTAATTTATGCTCTGGAATTACCGCAACATTGGGTCCAATAGTTGGTGGTTATTTACTTACAGCATTTAATGGCGATTGGACCTATATCTTTGTTTTATCTGGATGTACTTATGGTGTGGGTTTTATAGTCTGGTTAATATTTATGAAAACCGATGTTATTATTTAAAATTAGATTATTATTATAATTTGGTAATATCAATAGATATATATTATAACCTATTTTTTATTGGATGTATGGGGTATGAACTATATCATCATGATAAAATATTAAAAAATAATAAATTAAAAAAATAAAAAAATTTTTAAAAAAAATTAAAAGAAGCGCGAAAAAGAGAAAAATTATGATGTGTGTTTGTGCTGTTCTTTTACATCAATTTGCAAATTTTAAAAATGAATAAAAATGAATAGTTTTTTTCAAAAAAGTGATAATTTTTTCTAAAAAAAGAAATAATTTTTTCTAAAAATTTTTAAGTGAATATGTTAACGATAATCGGTGAAAACTGAGAATAACGATAATTTTTAATCACTATAGAAAATATAAACCTAATTTTATGTTTTTTTAAGGGGTAAGTGTCGATATATTGTCATAAAAGTTTGTGTGTGGGTTTATTTATTTATTATAAAATAGATTTGTTTGTTTATGTGTGTTTGATTTAAAAGTTATTCATTATTTATAATACCAAATGTTGGAAACAATTATATTTTTATTATAATAGGTCAAATCTCATTTTTGCAAGAAAATACTGCATTGTGTTTCCCGAATTTTTAACAATATTGTAAAGTTTGTATTATCATAATGTTTTATTAGTTATAAAAGCTAAAAATAATAAAAATAATTTCGTAAATTATAATATATTTTATTTAAAAAAATTTCATTTATATCATTACTTCCAAAAATATAATTATTTAAATGTCCATAAATTAATTATTGGGTTCAATTATTTATAATAATATAAATATTTAAAAAATTAAAACTTTTATATATTTTTTATTTATATATCAGAAATATAAATAAAAAATAATTAAACTTTTATAAAAAAAATCAATTTTAATAAGGATAGATTCAAAAGAAGATTTTCGATATTCATTTTTTTTTTTTATATCATTTTTAATAATAATAAATTGTCATATTTTTTTTTAGTTTCACTAAAAATATTTTTATTTTATTTTTAGTATTGCTAAAAATATAAATTAAATATTTTTTTTAAAATAAAAAACGATTACATTAATAAATAATAATAATTTTAGTAGATGGTGGTGTTTAAAAATTGTTTGGTGTACTTATTCAATTGACTTATATAAAAAACTCATTGAAAATAAACCTCTCTAACAATACAAGTTTTATTATAAAATAGACACTATCTTAATATTAAATATTGTGTGTTTAAAATTTCTCTTTTTTTTTTGTTTTTTTTTTTTATTTTATTTTTTTCATATGTGCTTGTATTTTTATAAATTAAATAAAAAATCAAGATTTCTTTCATTTCACCCCATTACCACTAAATTGAATTACTATAGATAGCTATTTTTAACAAATAGTATACAATTTTATATACCTGTATCATTAAAACCCCCACATACCACACCCCACATACCCCATACCCACACCACAAATTAAAATAAATTATTAAAAAAAAATAAAAATTTTGATTTTATAATAATTGAAACATTTAATATCAACAATATATAATAATTGCAATAATTTCATTTTTATAAAAATAACTTTGTGTGATATACATTTTGGTATAAAAAAATAAATATCTATTTTTAAATAAACATTATGGTTTATCTTTGTGTGTAACTGTATCTAATAATAAAATCTTTAATTTATTATTATTACTCATTTTTACCAATTTAATAAAACATTTCTTTTTTTATATATTTTTAAACAATAATAATAAAATAGGTATATAAATATACATATTTAAATATTGTTTTTATTTGTAATACAAATAAATTTTATAAGAAAGAACCAAAATTTTATAAATAAAATTTTTTTTTTCATTAATTGATTATTTAAGTTAAAATAATCTATAAAAGAAATTTTATTATAATGTCTATAGAGTAATAATTTTATTATAAAAATAAATATTGTGCACAGTAATTATAATAATTATTTTAAAACCATATAATAATAAAATTTTCTTTTCTTGTATATAGAAACAATATAGTTAATAGCAATAAAAATGAAAAACAAGAAGTAGATACCTCTGTTATGGTTACCACCGAGTTGGAAAAACCCACAGAAAACCCATTTAAAAACAATGACTCTGAACCTGTTTTTAATAAAGATAAATACCCCACACCGCCATACTATTTCCCAAAAAGATTTATATTTATTATTTTAGGTTTTGCAACTTTATTTGTTGGGTATATTATTAGAATTACAATATCAGTTTGCTCAATTGAAATGCAAAAACAATATGGGTGGTCAAATATTTTTAAAGGGGTAGTTCTCGCAAGTTTCTCAATGGGTTATGTATTTTCCCAATTATTTACTCAAAAAATCTGTGAAAAAATAGGTGCTAAAAAAACTTTATTTATTGGTTTAACCATATCAATTTTAACTACATTCCTTGTTCCGATCACTGCAAAATTTGGTCCACTATTAATTATAATTAGAATAATTTGCGGTTTTAGTCAAGGTGTTGCTTTTCCAACTATTAGCTATTTAATTCCAAAATATTTCCCATTATGTCAAATTTCAAGATCTGCTGGTATCATTTGGTCGGGTGTATATGTTGGAACTATATTTAGTGATGTAAGTAAAAATTTTACTAAAAAAATTGTTTTTATTTAAATAATTTTTTTATTAATTTTTTTATTATTAGTTTGTATCACCAATTTTATTAAAATATGTTGTTTGGAACGATATATTTTATATATTTGGTGGAATTTGTTTAATTTGGTCATTCTTTTGGTTTGTTATGATTAAAGATGACCCAAAAAATTTACCAGGTATTCATCAAAATGAATTGGAATTTATAAACTTTGGTAAAAAGATAAATATCAATGAAAATGATAATTATAATCAATTGGATAAAAAAGAAATTATTCTAGAAAATATAAATAAATCACCACAATTAGAAAGCTGTGATTCAAATCCATCAGAAAGCTGTGATTCAAATCCATCATCAAATGGAATCGAAAAAGAACTCCCATATTTAGAAGTAGTTAAAATCCTATTAAAATCAAGAGGAATGTTAACTATTTTATATGTAAATATTACTTGTTCATGGGCGTAAGTATTTAAAATATTATTTTTAAAAAAATATAAAAAAATAAATTAACTTTTCCTTTTTATTAGATACTCTTTACTATTATTATGGTACCCATCATGGTTATCAAAAGAATTAAATGAAAATTCATCTTTAAAATTTGCTTTCTATAATGCATTACCATTTATATTATGCTTTATAATTTCAAATGTGTAAGTAAACAATTAAAATTTTCTATAGTCATTTTATATTCTAATCTCTTTAATTAAATATTAGATTTGGTTTACTTTCAGATAAACTATTAAATCAATACAATGTTAAAAAGATATACTTAAGAAAGACAATGGGTTGTTTATGCTATGGTATCCCAGGTATATTTTTATTTTTAACTGCTTATGCCCCAATTGGAACAACTGGAAAAATTATATTTATGACAATTTCAATTGCTGCCAATGGATTTACAAGTTCTGGTAGTAATTTGTGTACTTTAGATTTAACAAAAAGATATAGTGGTGTTTCAATGGGCTTAGCAAACTTTTCATTAGCCATTCCAAATATTATAGGTCCATTATTAGGTGGTGTTTTATTATCCGCATTCAATAACGATTGGAACCCAATATTTACAATTTCCGCAGGCTGTTATTTGGCCGGTGCAATTGTTTGGTTAATTTTCTTAAAAGTAGATTTAGTAATTTAAAATACAAAACAAAAGAATTATCACAATTATTTATAACCATATATCATAAAAAAGAAATAATAATTATTAAAAAAAATTATTAAACTTTAATTTTAATAAAACTCGATTAAAAAACTTTTTTTATATAAAATATAATTTTATTTAAAGATTTATAGATTTTAAAATAACTTTATATAAGAAATAAATAATTACAGTTGTAGTAAATACTATACTAAGGAATTCGGGTAAGAGGAAAGTTGGTTTTTCACACTCTAAATAAGAATGTTTTGTTGAATGGATCTTGTGGATTACTTGGCTCATGGAGTTTGAAAGATCTTGAAGTTTTTCTATTTTTTTAAAAGCCTCTTGGTTTTTGTGAAGAGTTAGGTGGTTACTAATCTCTGCAATTGTTGAGTTAATATTACGGAAGAATTGATCGATGGTTGTGATTTCTGGGTTTGATCTAGTAAACTCTTCCCATGTTTCGTCATCTCCGATATGATCTACAATACTCTTTAATGATTCTATTGAGGATATAATATCAATATAAATTAAATTTCTAATTGCTGCATCAGTTTGTGAGAATGATAATTCTTTATGATTTGTAAACATATTTGATGGATTATAGCCAATTGACCAAACGTAATTATTTTCGATTGATCTAGAATCTCTATGTGCTACCATATGACTTGGTGTAATGCCCCAAACTGTTGATAGTAATGATTGTAAAGCTGGTTTAGTTGCATCTGCCGAATTAATTGCTAATTGTCTGTCACATTGATAATCAATTTTCAATAATCCTCCTTGTGTTTGAGTTGCAATAACCATATCTGGGAACGATATTGACTAGAGATAAATTAATAAATAAATGAATTAATAGATTAAAAGATTAAAAAATATTTAAATCAATACCTACTTGATGATATCTATCTAATAATAAATATTCTTTATAGGAAATGTCAAATAAAAATATTGGTATAATTGTTTTTAAAGAATCTTTTTGATATTCTGGAATAAACCTATTTATATGTTTCTTGAACCAATAATGTAATTCCTTTGAATCTAAATATTGTTGGGTACCTTTTAATGCAGAGTGATGAGTTTTTAATGAGGCCAGTTTAGTTTGGCTTGCATATAGGTCATTTAACATTGAAATCTCTTTCTTTATAAATGAAATTTTTTGACCTGATGCTAAAGGAATCTTTGAAAGCTCTTTTTGAATTAAATCCCAATCAAAAAGATCTGACTTCTCTTCGAGTCCAACCATGTGATCGTGTATCATAATTAATTGAATTTCTAAATCCCTCCAACCATATTCTTGTGGTATTTGATAAATTGGTGTTGCAATCAATTGTTTGGTTGTATGATAAACAAATGTTGATATATCATAAAGTTTCTATAATAAAAAAAAAGATTGTAAATAAAAATATTAAGTATTGTTATTATTTTAGAAACCATTTTATTACCTTTGTAAATTTAGTATAAAATTGTGGTAATTGTTCGTTTGTTACCAAACCAGTGCCTTTAGTATGTGGTCCATATTCTGAAGAATCTGCACCGATATCAATCCAAATATATCTACCTTCTCCTTTATTTCCGCTTGAGTTTTCTGATTTTGATTGCCACATTTTAACATTACATAAATGATCAATTACATTTAAAGCATTATGAAGTTCACGAATTGACTCTGAATTCATTTGTGAATAAGTGTATTTATAATGGGTGTCGTCTCGATCGAAAATTGAATTTATAATATAAATTGTGTATGATTGATGATCACCATCTTTAAAATCTTGATAAACTAAATTATCTACAACATCATATGGTGCTACTGAACATTGTGGATCTAATGTGCTTTTATGTTTATTATCTGAAATATAACCCTTAACTCTATCTTTAATATCTTCATTTAATTTAAATAAACTATTTGAACCTGAAATAACTTTATATTTTATATTTTGTTTAATTAAATCAATGGTTTGAATTTTCTGTAAAAACTAATTAGCTTTTGTGTTTTGAAGAGAATATGTAAAGAGTATTTAAACACCTACAGGAAATAAAATCAATGGATTAATTTTATTATTTAAACTATTTAATAACCTTTCTAATTCTTCATGTTCTGTTGAGTCAAACCCTAAAAGTTTAACATCAATTTGAATATTATGTTCTACTTGAAATAATGAATCAAATAAACTTTTGCCTCCTTTGTGATGGTGAACATCACAATTTATAAATAATATATTATTTATTATAAAAACTAGAAAAAATATATATATAAAAAATTTATTTATTATCATTTTATAATTTATACATATATAGAAATATAAATTATATAAATAACATATGATGATGGTCACAAAATGAAAATTAATAAAATTTAATAAAAAAAAAAAAAAAAAAATTAATGAAAAAAATTAAATTTTTAAAAAAATAAAAATAAAAAATAAATAAAAAATTATAATAATCAAATAAATTGATATTTTAAAAAAGAATATTACTTATTCAATAAAGAAAATAATTATTATGGTTGTTTTGTTTTTTTTCTAAAAATAGTTGATTTTATTTTATTATTATTTATTAACCAAATGCTAATTTCTTTCTTCCTCTTAATCTAACTTGATTTAATTTTTGAATTACAATTGATGCCTCTTTTGGATTTGGCCCATTTTTTTCGTAAGAGTTTAAAACATTTTTAAATAAAATTTCAGAGTTTGGATGAGTACTTATAAAAGCACGTTCTAAAACATAAAGATCAACAGCTTTATCTTCGACGTAATTTGAAACATATGAAAGACCAAAATCGATGAAAACCAACTGATCCTTTTCTGATAGTGGATTTAAATTTGGACGTAATAACATATTGGATGTAGTTAAATCGCCATGAACCAAACCCATATCATGAATTGAACTAATTTGTTTACCAATTTCGTTCATTACATTTAAAACTCTTTCTTCTTGTTCTGATTTGGATTGATTTGTATATAAAAATTGTTTAACTGTTTCACCTTCGATAAACTCCATATAGATTCTATTCAATTTTGTATCCACTAAATATAACGATGGACAATCGATTCCTTTCTTTTTACATTTATTTAATGATCTGACCTCTTGTAAAATTCTTTTTGATGATATCTTTTGATCAATTGTTGGATGTCTATATGCTTTAACAAATCTTTCTTTAACAATACATTTTAATCCATATAAATCAATTACAAAAGTTTTCTAAAATAAAAATAAATATATTAATATATTAACATATTAAAATATATATTGTATATATTAAAGTTGATAACCATACAGCTTCTGCGCCTTGAGATATTAATGTTCCAATATCTTCTAACTTTGCAACATTTGTTGATATATTATTATTTTTACCATTGATACTTTTTACATCTTCGATATTCTCGCTGTTATTATTACTATTACTATTACTATTCTGACTACTATTATCTATATCTGTCATTGTACTATCCATTTTATTAATTTGAGGATAAATATGAAAAATAAAATTAAAAAAATAATGAAAAAAAAATTAAAAAAATGAAAATTTTTTTTTTTTTTTTTTTAAAAAATAATTTTATAGCGAATTGTTTAATTAATTATTCAAAAATGGAAATTAAAAAGTTTAAATAAACGAAAAAAAAAAAAAGAAATGTTTTATAGGGTTGATGTTTTACATCTAATTTAAAGATTTTATTTTATTTTTATTAAATATTATTTTTTCTGATTGGTGTGTTTGGACTTGATGAACCTTTAATTGAAGTTTTAATTTCATTTAAATACATAATTTGACAAATATTTGCCAAACCACCTTTGGTATCTTGAACATATGATGAAGCATTTGTGGTTTCAACGTGGAGGCTATTTAAGAGTTTTCTTGAGTTTGGAGTTTGTTTAGATTTGACAATCTCTGCTAACATTGATGAGATTACTTTAATATCTTGTAAAATTTTAGTAATTAAGAATAAAAGTTGGTTTGATTTTTCTAATGTCCAATCTTTAATTTCATCAGTTGAGCTTGGTTTCTCTGATGGTTTTTCATCTGGAATACTTTCGGCAATAGTTGCGATTAATTCTAAACCGATAGATGCTAATTGATAAATCTTTTCTAAACCACGACATAAACCCAACTCAATGGATTGACTCTTTAATGATGGGATATATTCTTGTAAACAGTCAAAAAATTTAGTATATTTCTTTTCTAATTCAAAGACGTGGATATTGCTAAATGTTAACTTGTTATTTTCGTTGTTGGTATTTGGGACTATATCTTCACTTTCAAATAACTCTTTAATTTCTGATAATACAGTTTCGACTTGTGACTTGATTGTAGAACCTGATACAACCTTTCTATTAATTTGATGAACTTTCATAGTTGATTCAACTGAAATCTTTTCAATATCTTGAGTGAATTTGGTAATATTATAATGTTCAGAACAAACACTTGAATCAAATTCGCCTGCTTCAAAAATAGATGATTCCATATCGATAGTGTCTTCATCGTCATCGTTGCTCTTTTTTAATGATTGTTTGGTTGGGGTTTCAATATCTGTGCTGCTAGTTGTAGTAGTGGTTTCAGTTGATGGTGATTTCGAAGTCTGTTTTTTTCTTTCTGGTGATTTATCTGTAATATTTGAAGGTTCATTTGCTTGTGGAATATCAGATTTATTTGTATTACCACCTGTACCTGGCGCATTTTTATTTAATTTTAATTGAGTTGAAAACATTGAATAAGCTCTTTGGCCAACAGATTCTAATGCATCTACTGAAGAGTCCATCATTTGTGTAGCAATTTTTTGACTTTTACCATAGAGTTCAGAGTTTGAAATTTTATTTTTGGTTTCTGATGACATATTTGAAACTTCTTGAGTGATAGCGTTAACATTTTCCAAATTGGCATTCTCTTGAACAGATTTAAAGCCACTTGATAAGAAATTACCAGCAAAAAATAATGAATCTGCAATCATATCTGCTGTTTTAAATACACCATTATCTATAGCATCTAAAATTGCATTTCCCTCCTCATCAAACTCTTCTTCACGTTGATTTTTATTTTTTAAATATCTTTCATACTCTTCTTTGGTAAGTTCTACCTCCTCTTCAACAATGACTTCTTCATCAGATTCTTCATCACTGTCTTCTAAATCTACACGGGCAATTTGAGTAATTGTATTTGATACTGCATTACCAATTGATGAAAACCATCCTCCCCATCCTGATGATTGTTGTGGTGGTGGTGGTGGAGTTGGTTCTGGTTCCTTCTTTGGTGGTTTTTCTTTCTTTTCTTTTTTTACCTTTATAACTTTTTTTTTCTTTATAATATATTTCTTGTTCTCTTCTTCGGGGATATCATTGTTTAACCCTTCAACATTTGGTATTTCGATTTCATCTTCATCAGCCCACATATTATCTTCTTTTTTTTCTTCATTTGATTTTTCAGTTACAGTTTGTTCTTTTTCTTCAGTTTCTTCTTTTTGCTCTATTTCATCCTCTTTTTCTTCTTTTGGTTCTTCAACTATTTCTTCTTTTGGTTCAGATGATTTTTCTTTAGTTTCCTCTACGATTTCTTTTGGTATTTCTTTTTCTTCTTTTAATTCTTCGACTGCTTCTTCTATTGGTTCAGTCTCTTCTACAGTTTTTTCAACTTGTTCATTACCTTCTTCATTGTTGATATCTTGTGAATTTTTTTTTTGATGTCTTTTCCCTTTTTTTGCCATTTTTATTTAAATCGACCGAAAAATAAAAATAGTTTGAAAGTATAATATAAAAAAAAGAAATTTTAATTAAAAATTTTGAAATAATTATTTTTAAAAAAATAAAAAAAAAATAAAAAAAATTTAAAATTTAAATAAAAAAAAATAATAGGTGCCACCTTTTTTTCATATAATTAAATTAAAAAAGAAATATTTTTTTTATGTGAGTACTAATATTAAGAAGAAAATATCTAAATTATTATCAGTAAAATAATACACAAATATATATTTATATATTAAATTTTTTTTATTTTCTTTTTTTTTTTTATATTTTTTTTTTTTTAATTTTTTTTAATTATTTTTCATTTTTCATTTTTTTTTTTTTTTTTTTTTATTAAATTAAAAATAAACTTTTTTATTACTTTTTTTTTGTTTTTTGTTTTTTGTTTTCTGTTTTTATTTATTTTTGTAAATAATGGTACAATCACCAAATCAACAACAACAACCACAAACAATACCTCAACAAAATGTACAATCACCAATACCCCAAAATATAAATAGTCCAAGAGTTGCACAACCAATACCGCAACAACAACCAAATACAATTACTTCACCTATTTCAACAGGCACCATTGTTGGGAATGTAACGCAATCCATTGCACCACCATTACCCACATCCTCTCTATTATCTCTAAACTTAATATCAATTGAAAATAAAGCTATTCAATTACAACAATTAAATCGTGATATACATCAATTGGTTAAATTAATAACACCACCAAATAATAATAGTAATAACAACAATAAAAACAATACATCATCACAACAACCAGATTTGGCAGAATATAATAAAAATGTACAATTATTAAACCAATATCAAATAAAAGTTCAAAATATAATCAAACAAATTCAACAGGATTTAAATAACCCAAATTTACAACTCTACTTTTTAACACCTGTTTTAAATGATGAGCATCAACAAGACTCTTTATTTTATGACCCATACTATCCTCCAACTGCAGAACAACTTCAACAACAACAGCAACAACCAAAACCCATCGAAATAGATTCAGAACAAGATCCAATGCAAGTAGAAACAGCCTCTACAGCACCTGAAACATTAGAACAACATAACCAAAGAATGTTCTTAGAAAAGTTTAAAAGACAACTATCACCAGAAACTATTAATAAACAACTACAAGAGTGGGACTCTGTCTTCAAAGATCGTGAAAAGCTAAACAAAAACTCTGATAGAGTTAAAATATCAATTTTTAAATAAACTATAAAACTAACCAAACAAATATAAAAATAAAAATTTTATTTAAACAATATTATATATTTATTTAAACTTTTACAATAGTGTTTATAATTATAATTATATTTAGTTCTTTTTATTGTTGGTTAACATATACTATAGAATTATTATCTAAAAGATTAAACTGGTTTTCTTGGTTATATTTTCTTTTTTTATTGTTATTTCTATCTATGGATATTTGTATTCTTTCTTTTCTAGAGGAACAAAGACCTAAATCGTTTAAAATGGGCTCTTGAAGGAGTATTTCTATAAGATCTTCTTGATTTGAAATTAATCTATTTTTTAAATAAACACCATTATTATTTAAAAAGACCCTATTAATTTCCCCATTAAAAAAAACTAGTATTGAATTTGAGTTGTTTGTTATCATTTCTTGTTTTTTATTTGTTTAAAAAATTGATTTTTTTTTAATATTAAAAAAAAAAAAAATTGTTTTTATTTTATTTAAAATATTTAATATTTATTTTCTTTGGGCTATATAATAATAGTAATAATAATAATAATAATAATAATAGTAATAAATATTAAAAAAAAAAAAAAATAAAAAAAAATTAAAAATAAAAAAAAAAAAAAAAAAAAAAAGAAAAATAAAAATAAAAACTATCGAAACGGCATTTTAAAGATTATAGCTTGGACATGTATTTTTTCGATTCTAATAGAATAAATAATCTAATATTATTGGGATACTATATAATCGGTAGGATTAGTTTATTTTTAATAGGAGATCCGTTGTTCATAGTAATTTTTTGATTGTGCAAATTTTATTACACGATTAGAAAACTCTCCAATGAATTTGGTCAAGTAGAGGGAAAGAAAAGAGAATAATAATTCCCATACTATGTAAATATTTATTTCCCACTCTAGATTATAATTATTATTTTTCATTTTATAATATTAAATAGAAATAGATATCTCTAAACAAATAAAAAAACAAAAAATAAAATTAAAAAAAAAAAAAAAAAAACAATATTTTTTTTGTAATTTTAATACTTTTATAATAGATATAAAGACCATTATTACAAGTAATGCTTTACAATAATGTTAATATTAATTGATAATTTAAATTAAATAATTATGTTTACATTTAAAAATAAATAAAAATAAAACAAAGTTAATTTCCAATAATAATTATAATATAGCACTATAAAATATAATAAGAAGGAAAATATGATATTCCCTCTTTTTTTTTTTTTTTTTATCTGTGTGCAAAAATAATATTAATTTCTTTTGAAAAAATGAAGTGTGTGTTTTTACATTTTTTTTTCAAAATTTTTGATATACAATCCCGCTGTACATCATTTTTTTTTGAATCAAACCCACACACACCATTCAATGAGATATTATTAAATTTTTTGTCACAAAAGGATACCCCCTATGGTAAATTTGGAACATTTTATTACCCATTACATAAATAAATAAAATTAATAAATTTAAATACTCTTTTAAATGAAAATTGAAATTTAGAAAATATATGAAAAAATACAAAATAATTAAAAAATGCAATAAATTATGAAATTTATTAACTAAACCTGTTTATGCCAATTAAATAAAAATTTTCATTGGTTTTATTAAATCAATTATTTATAAAAAAAAGAGTAAGAAGCTATAAAGATTTTTATTTTTAAAACTATGTTTATTAGTAAATTAAAAACTATTTAATAAGTGATTTAAATAAAATAACTAAAAAATTTTATTATAGAAATTTATAAATATAAAAAACAAAAACCAACCAGGTAAATAGAA